GAAAGCAACGGTCAAACATCACCGCCCTCCCTCCGACACCACCATTTGATAAATTCTAAGCACACCTTTGTTGTAACCACAACTCTAAACTCTTCGCATGTTGTACTTGATACGAGGCATCCAAACTTCGCCAGCTATTCTCACTGTGACGTCACTGGCAGTATTGAATTAACTAGCTGCAGAAATCAAGAACTGGAAGGATGATTTGTGTGATTTGATGTTCCCTAACATCAGAATTGTGTATTTAAATACCCTTGTTAATTGAATCATAGCTATCACGTTTGACTACTTTCAGGAATTGTTCTATTTTATTGTCATTGGTTTCATAAGATTTACATTCATGACACGCTCTCTTTTCAAAACCACGGGACCTTAATTATAAGGCCTACGTGTCTATCACACAGTGTCAAATAACAATAGGTAACAAATGTACACCAGCGGGGGGGGGGGAGAGGGGGCGTTGAAATCCATTTCCTTTGGTGACTCGTTCGTCAACTAATAATGAACTGTTTGGTGTTATCGGATCTCTTCGTTTACTACGTGGGGGGTGTTCCGATTGAAAAAGGATGATAGCGTCGGAATGATTCATTATTTGGCAACGATAGAACCACATGGTCCCTGATCTTCCAGTATCTTCACTACATGACAGTACAACTGCACGCTCCGTATTTTATCAGATTGGTGAATGATTAAAATAGCAATGGTCTTTATTCACAATTATCATATAGCCAGGTGACGTTGACCAATCAGAAGGCTCCATTCCACATTCCTTATGACACCGTAATGTCACAAATAGAGTCAAAATCGGGTATTTATTCATCCCAATCCATACATTAAACAACCCAAATAATCACCCGCAGAACAGGGCTCTAGTTCTAAAAAATCCAAAAATAACTTGAGTTGTGTTCCGATGACCTCGGGTGACTCCCATAAGAACACCTGTTCCCTGCCTGTGACCCAGATAGAAGACATAGAACGTGAACTCTACCCAGTGACCTCAGGTGACTCCAGAGGGAACTATGTTCTATGTTCTATTCAGCATGTGCATTGTATCACTTACTGCATCAGTTTGGATAGACTATCGTGTAAGCTATATGATAATAGTGTTAATGTCCCGCCCTTTCTCGGTGAATATGGTGTGATAAAGCCTTGTCAGTTGCTATAACCACCTCATAAAGCCACCTCGTTCGCTGCGCTCACTTGGTGGCTTTATTCTGTGGTTATAGCAACTGACAAGGCTTTATCACACCATATTCACCTCGGGGCGGGACATTAACCCTTAATTCAACCACTTGTTTTACAAGAGCCGTTTCTGTTTAACAATATATATTGTATATGACAATACATTTGGAACCGCCCATATATATGTTGTAACGATATCTATGTATGCCACAATTAGTTTTTTTAGCACTGAGTAACACCTAGGTTCAGTGCACAGTGAACAAGTAACACCTTCGCACAGTGAACCGTGAACTCTACACATTATAGCCCTGATGAAGACGACAGATGGTCGAAACATTGGCTATTCCGAAAAAAAGTGTTTCACTTTAAAAAGTTGACTGTTGTTGTGAAGAACTTTGCTGTTCAGTACATCATGCTTGATCATTCTTCTAGCAGCTCCCCCATTATATTGGTCAGGAAAATGCCCAATCAGCCCCTGGCAGCGAGAGATTGTATAACACAGGCTACTCTCCTAGTAGAGATCTTCTTTATTGTCAGAATGATGATAGCTGCATGTGTATCAACGAAACACGCTGTAAAAAAAAAAGATGTAGGATCCTTTGCCTTCCTGTCTCAAAAAAGAAGTTATTCTATATATGTAATATTTTTACCACTACTTGAATTTCTGTATGAACTGTTCTTGCTGCACTTGCAATGATGTTAGCCCTCGGCCAAGTGTTTTCAAGAAAGAACTGTATATCACACAATGAGCAACTGAATGGGTTTTGAAATTGTTGCTTGAGTAACAACTCCTTGTGTATCTCATTACCTGGATGTCTAACCTTCATCGACGAACTATACATTACTTCGCAATATTAAGACAGATCAATACGCCTAACTGGGTTTCTAACACATAATCATCGATCATCTTCTCTGCCATATACTGTGGTGTACGTGAACTCACACCCTCCTAGCCTGGATATTGATTTTGGGGCCCTGAAACGGGAGTAAAGGCAGTGTATGGAACAGTTTGGTTTACATCCAACTTCAGCCCCACCACCTAGAGCCCCTGGGTACGGCTGTTCTATCCAAAGCCGTGCTTTATTCAGAACCAAGGTCAGGCACGGCTCTGGATAGTCCACATTCTTGATATACATGTACCGGACAGTGGCGGCGTTCGTGCACGTCATGCAATCGAATAGTGAAACTTAGCTACAATGTACTTGAAATTTAGCTTGGAAAACACGTTTCAGAGGGTTAAAATCTCAAATTTTTCCGCGCGGCGGCTCACTTATCTCCAAGCAGATCTTTTGGTGGCCAAAAAAGATAGTATCCAACACGCGGACAGTACCCAGCCGGCCGACAGTATCCAACCGGCCACCGTTGGATGGGCCGGCTGTCAGAAAAAAACGGGGCATAGAAAAAGGTCACAATCTTCCCATTCAACCTCTGCTTGGAGAGTCACGGAGAGTAGCGGCTCACGCCTTCTGGCGGCGCTCGATAGTGGGTTCCATACAGATCTGCCCCCCAGTCAAGATTTCCTGCCGCCGCCTCTGGCCTACTAAATTGGAACATTGGACATGACAGCAAGAGTTTTCTGTATGATAATCTAAAAAATTAACACAAACTGCTGAGATGAAGGAGGGTGTTATTCCCTAAATGACACACAGTGACCGTTCGGCTCTGTTTCATATGGAAGAATTCATAGAAGGAGCTCTAGAACGAAACTCTATAAGGAGCATTACACTTAGCTTGAAATAAACAAAACTTTAGGTCTCAAAATGCCGGAAATAGCGTTTCAGAGGGCTTAGAAATTCAAAATTTCCAGGGGGGGCATGCCCCCGGACCCCCCTAGCAGGCTCGCAGCTCGCTGACGGACGCCTTCCGAGCCCGAAGTCCGAATCAAAATTTCCTGCCGCCGCCTCTGCCGGAAGACTATCCTGAACCGTGCTTCTACCCCAAACCCATTTAGGCATGATCTCCAAGCAGATCCCTTTTGGTGGCAAAAAGACAGTATCAAATTGGCCAGGCAGTATCCATTAGCCAGAGAAGGGCGCCGGCCACCGACGGGTGGTGGGGGTAGCGACCAAAAACGGCCATATATAAAAAGGTAACGACCATTCCCCCACAACCTCTGCTTCTGTGTTCTACCATGTAGACAATCCAAAAGCAGTTGTTGGGATAGAAAAACATAACCATGTTTTGATGAAAGGCATGTCCCTGTGTGAACGGGTGTTGTGTTGGTGCCGTGCGTGACTGACCTGACCTTCATATCGGCTGACTTACAACTGGTTACGCAGGTTTAGGGACGAACCATTTTGTGGTGTTTTAGGCTGAATGAACCCAGTAAAAGCTTGCGCCGAAGGGGAGGGGCGGTCTCATAATTGTTGTTTAATTTGCAAAATCGGTCCTTCATTCCTTTTCCTTTGGAACTTTATGGATTCCGTGCTTGCACAGAAGTTGCCGCTAGAATGTCGTGATTGCACATTACCTTGCACAAATACTTTACCCTAAATGTTCAAAATGCTCCACACCCCTCGATCGATAATGGTTTAGCCCTATTCATTACAAATCACAAAACAGGGCGGACCCTTTCCGACAGACGGGCCGTGCACCACACTGGTACTTTTACTACAACATGGTCTGAACAACTACAGCCGGAGGTTTGCTTTTGGTGCTCCAGAAAAAAGGTGGGAACATCCTCGTAGTCTTTATATATGACATGTTGAATTTGGTAGATTCAGAAAGGTGGGTTTCATGTAGGCTTAGACAATGTGTAAGAACGTAAACCTCCTTCAATGGTTGGAATACAGTTTGTAGACGGCATCGTTTTATCATGTACGTAGGTAAATATAAAGGCAGAGAAGATTGAGGATCTCACAGGGGTGTTAAGGAGAGTCCAGCCATATAAGTTTGTCTGGAGTGAATCACGTATACCCTAAGTGTATCCTCACGATCTTTTAGCCTTATACCATACGTTATAGTGGTAAATGTTTGGAGCCTATAAATTTCTAGTGGATCAATAATGCATTACACTACATGCTATGTCGTAATAATAGGCGTATGTCGCATACAATGATAGGTAGGCCATTTCATTATAAAACGCATTTCTATGTGACATGTGAAAACGCAAGTTGTCGTATTGGGGAATCAATAGCAATTTTGCTCAAGTGAATTGGTCTTTAAGGCTTTTGGTCGTCTGGCGAAGGCGATATCATACCTGTAAAGAGTATACTTACATGTTTAAGAAAGAGAAAATAAGTCACGCAATAATATCGTAAAAGCTATTCCAACCCTACATCATACTTTCGTCGTGTTTGCCAAAGTCCCTTAAAAAAACAATACTCACTGCCGCGTGCACAGGGATAGAAGAAGGTTGATGATATGGTTCATGGCGCCTAAAGGCTTGTAATTAAAATTGATATGGATAATCAAACAACACAGCCTGTATACATCAGAGGTGGTAATTTTATGAAACCGTCCAGGATGTAAGCTTTGTGATTAATACTGTTTTATTGGTACCTTTCCTACCTTCCTGAGGATTTATATAAGCAATAAGCGGAATTGGTTATGCAAATTAAATACCCTTTTATGAAAAACTTAAACTTTTCTCCAACTCAAAATTTGACTCACCAGAAATTTTCGACCGAATCACTCAGTCTTCCTCAGCTATCTGACCCAAATGCTGTGGACACGTGATTTTTCCCACGTGTGACGTCAGCAAAGGGTCAAAGGTTGTCTGAAGTCGATATCGCCCCCCGTCCCGGTTAAGCGATGGTTGAAGTGCCCTGATGTATATGGCCTCTTTTATGCCTCTCTTGAAGTGATCCTGTTCGGTATCCAAGATTCTGACCCCCTCCAAATCCACTGTGTGTCCCGGTGATTCTATGTGGATGTGCTGTGACACCTCAGATGCAACAGAACTGGGTCGTCTATGTTCTAGAAACCTAAATACCCTTTTGTCATTATGTAGCTATAAGCTTGGACTGTTCAACTTAAACGGGGGGGGTTGTCACATTGACGGGTTATGTTACGGTTATCCTTTTCTTAAGAGATACCTATGTATCTGTATCTGTATAGCCGGTATTACTGCCCTTCGGTGTAATACACCAGCTTCTGTATCTGTATAGCCGGTATAACCGCCCTTCGGCGTAACACACCAGCTTCGCAGGCACGTGGCGCGGCGGCAGCTGGCTACATTACACCGAACGACTTGTTACACCTAACCCTTGAACATTTACCAAAAGCCAGCTGCCGCCGCGCCGCGTGCCTGTGAAGCTGGTGTGTTACGCCGAAAGGCGGTTATATCGGCTATACAGATACAGATTTTGCTTTAAACAATGTCCAAAGCTATCTAATAATCATGCCCCCACTGTACTTGGTGACAGTAAGTTCCACTCTGCGATAGTTCTATGAAAGAATGGATTTTCGAACACCTCAATCCTTGGCTGTTAACTCTGGTACTTGAAGGCATACTATTTCTTGTTCTTTTCTGGACTGGTATTAGGTACTTAGTAGTTGAAACGTCCACCAGTTTATTAGTCATTTTGTACATCATGCATAGTCTGGTCATTTTTCGTCTGTCAATGGTGATAAACAATGGACTACTAAATACTGCATGATAGACCTGGAAGGAAGACAAACACCAGCTCTCACTCTAATGTAACGTTATGAACATTTTCGGACCAAATATATGTAAAAATATGTCTATGGTCTAGTATAGATGTATTATGGTGTCTGATCCGTAATTACCTATTCCTTCATGACCCCCAATGAAAAGCGGCCTGCAACGGTTCAAACCAACATGTTCTGTACCCACCTCAAGATTTGTGCCCAATTGAATCGTCCAACTTGTGCATATGGCAATGGACCCGTGACCTTTTTATCGTGCCACCGCCACTCCAACCACTACAACAGCAATTTCTCTCCGGTAATCAGGTTCGTGATGAGTACGTAACAGCTTCGATTTCCCTTCCAGGAAACTAACAGGCTCGCCGATATCTGATTACAAACGAAATTGGTTCATTGTACAGAGGTACCGAGGGGAAACTAAAATGTTTTGTAGACAATCAAGCGTGTTAATAGAATTGATCCGGTTCGTGCTTATCAGAACTGCGCTACCAATCTTCAACTATTCACAAAATTCTGCGAGTAATCTAGTTACCTTCGCCAAGAAGGTTATGTTTTCAGGGGCGTTCGTGTATGTGTGTGTGTGTGTGTGTGTCTGTCTGTCTGTCTGTCTGTCTGTAAACACGATAACTTGAGAAGGCCTTGATGGATTGTCTTGATACGTTGGTAGGTGGGTAGGTCTTGATGAGACCTCAAAATGATTAGATTTTGGACCCCCTAGCGGCTTGTTATGGTACTGCAGCTGAACTTCCAGTTTTGATATCTCATGATCTAGACATGCTATGGTGATGAAATTTAGATGGTAGGTAGCTCTTGTGCTGGGAAAGAAGTGACGTGAGTTTAGGCCCCCTAGCGGCTTGCTCTGGAACTGCAGGGATAAATTCTTGAAAATATTCAAAAGGGGATAACTCAAGAACCGGTTGACGGATTGTCGTGATTTTTGATATGTAGGTAGCTTACGTGATGCTTAATATAATTATGTGACAATTATGCAAATATGGATGTAATTTGCATAATTTATGGGGAAATTCTATAAATCAGCTGCATTCCATGATAGGACAATTGAAGCTTGTGACATTGGTAATTGACAACGAGAGAAACACAGGAAGATGTTGATTATGTTAATAATGACTTAATTTGCATAATTAATGAGAATATTTTCTGATTATGTAATGATAACTGCCTGGAATTTCATACTTGTGGTATTTGAAAGTTAAATTGAGGTGAACATCATTAAACATAATTTATTCAAATCAGGACCTCATTTGCATAATTTATTAGGAAATGCTAGAATGCATTGTTTGTTAATATAAGACTGTCTTTTGGTTGAGATTATGATAAAATGATATAATGAAAATTAGGTTCCTATTTCTTAAATCAGGGGGAATAATCTAATCTAAACTTTGTCAGTCATAAAGATTAACATCATTTGGCGAAGGTATGAGATCGGGGAACTCTAGTTGAAAGATGTTTATGGATAAAGTGATAGAAATGTCACATCATGTTGCAAGTTGCAGGTCAGAGTTGGTGTTATAAGTTGATAAAGGAATGCCTTCACATAAGCATTAGCTTTCGGTCTCTCTTACACTTATATCTCATTTGTATTTCATTGTTATGCATTTATTACTCCGTGAAGGAGGTCAGGACCTCCGGACGGAGTGTTGTGATCGGCTGATTTTTCATGTTCGCAGTCAAAACACTGGGTTCTCTTTGTGTAATCGGCACGCAATTTTATACGCCGTCTGCGGGCATGCCCGTGTTGATGCACGAATGTGTATTTTTGCCGTTACTGCTTTCGCGGTCAATGTAATATTGCAGACGCACCCCTACAATTACGAGGCGAATTGGAATGGTCCAGAAAAACGCGTTGTTTGGAATAGCAGTGGGGGGGGTGGATACGGGGTGGTTTTGATAAGTGGTTCCAGATGTTTTTGCCCACGGTTAAGAGATGGCAAGTTTTTTGGAAGATGTTCGCAGCCAAAACGCATTCTTCCGTACGTCGCATTTCTGTGTAATTTCGCATGTGGTGTGGCATTATGTCCGGGATGATGCTTGTCTTTTTATTTTTACCGTAGCTGTTTTGATATTTGAGTAAATGCTTATTTTCGAAACATCCCCATGTCGTTGAAATATGTTTTCGTCCGTTTATGTGACCGGTAGTACTTAGTAAGTGGCGGTCAGGCTGATGGGGACAGAAATGTGGGGTGGTCAGAGGTCAACATTACGAAATGTAAATACCGATGACGTAATCCTATCGATTTCAAACTGGTCGGCTGTGGCGACCTAGTGGCGGCGTGTATTTAGTCACGTAGCAACTGGCCGGTCGTCCTAGCAACGAGCATGCTGGCCAATATTTTTGGGTTGGGCCGCTCCATAGTGTTAGTGGAGCAGCTCTTTGTAAACATGGACAATATTTTTGAGCAACCCATCAATGTGTTCTGCCTCGTGGTCGGATGTGGTCTGGGTCTGGTAAACCGCACATACTAGTAGATCGGGTAATTTTATGATTTGCTAGTTGTAAAGGCGTCTTGTAGTATGAGCCGGTATATGAAGCTTTAAGAAGTAGCCTGTGTTACACAATCATGCTTTCGGCCGGATTGATGTGCAACTGTTACTAATTGCAGGGACTGCGCTAATGCCGACCAGTCGCGCTGTCCTGATACACCGCGAATGTGCGAGTGTTCCCTGTAGACAGTCCCGGGAGCACATTCCAGGAGCCAAACCAAAATACGTTCATGAACCGAGTCCAAAAAACCGAAACGTGAAAATCGGATGATCGGACCTGATGTACATTTCTCTTTCTGTAGATTGTACACACAATACACACATCTTTAGATAATCTGGCCATGGCAGGTAAAAAAAAAAGTAACCCTGAATCATACTACATTAGCGTAAATGCATGTTTATGCGTTCAAAACAAGAAAAGAAAGTGTTTCCCGGTATTAATCTCTTGAAACACGGCGCTGAATATTGACGCAAAAATATTTCGGGCATCGCGCGCCCTTCCCCGTTGTTTAGACTGTATGCAAATCCCGCGTCACGTGTCGGCATTTCGCATCTCTGATTGGTTGTTGCGTCTTAAGATGACTGAGCCGACGCGCGTTTAAACAATTTTTCTTTGTTCGATTTATCACACTTCACAGAGAATTGTCGCCAATTGCTACTTCTTTTTGTTGCAATATATAATACTTCACGGAGAATTGTCGCCTATGGCTTCTTGTTGTTTTTAAGAGCGAAAGAATGATCAAACAACTTTTGCTCTCCAGTCGATAGATTGGTTGACCAGGGTATTTTCCAAAATGTAATTATACCAAGTGCTCATCTTCCGACTCGCCTTCGCCAGTTGCTTTTATTACTGCGGCACTGAACAATTTCTCCTGACAAACCCAGCTGTCCGGTCTGCTGATTACTGCTGTTCGAAGAACTCTCATAATCCTTCATCTTCTGAACTGACTTGTTTATTAAGACTTACCACACTTTACGGAAGGATTGACATAACAGGTGACTATCATCTTTCCAAGTAGTCAACCCTGAGACCAGACTGTAAAGTTTGAATCACTCAAGGGAAGGACCCCTGATCTTTGGTGATGATCAAGGTGTCATTGTCCTATTTTTACCCTTTTTATCTCAGTATCTACCCAACGGTCGTGCCCCTTTCCTCTGCATTAGATTGGCCTATCCCTGGTGATTACATGGAACAAAACAAATACATAGTTATAACCTCGTCAATGACTCTTCATCCATAACCCATCTGTAAAATGGCATGTCGAGTCTCCCGCCCTTTACATAATAACTGTATAGAGTGTACTTCCTGAAGTATAATGAACTAAGAGTTCCACGGTCTCACAAATCATAGCTTATTCCCCCTGTTTATGCAAATAGGATACTCATTTGCATGAATTTTATCAGTTGATAATATTCTCCAACAAGAGTCTTACTTTAGCAAAAATTATAGCATTTCCTAATAAAATATGCAAATCAGGTCCTTATTTGAATGAGTTATGTTTAATGATGTTCACCTTCATCTAACTTTCAAATACCTCCTCACCTCACCTCACCTCACCGGTCCCATAGCAGTCTGTCCTGCCGTCGGGGCAACTAAACTGTCCACAAGAGTTATCCACCCAGGGCGGTTCTCAGCCAGACTTGTCAGGTGACTCAGGGGATGTCCTGTCCATTCCTTAAGGTCACTAGTCCAGGTCCTTCGAGGGCGCCCCCTCATTCGTCCACCCTCCGCCTTCCCTTGCAGTGTAGTGTGAGCTAAGGTGCCCTTCGCTCTAGTTACATGTCCAAACCACTGCAGCTTCCTCTTATTTACCAGTGACAGGAAACTGGGGAGAGGGCCTGCCAGTGACTTGACTCGGTACTTAACTTCTTCATTTGTGGTGTGTGTAGACCAGTGTATCTGAAGTAATCTCCGGTAGCAGTTCATCTCGAAGGCATTAATTCGTTTCGTGATTTCTGCGTTTAACGTCCAAGCCTCCGCCCCATACAGGAATATTGACAACACTAGAGAACGTAGGAGATAGATTTTGGTTTTTGTTGAGATGTTACTGCTAGCCCAGATGTGCTTGAGTTTCCCCAATACTGAGGTAGACTTGGCAATCCTAATCTTGACCTCTCTACTAGAGCTGCAGTCCGCTGTCTGTAGGGAACCTAGGTAGCTGAATTCGTTGACTTGTTCAAGGTCAGTTCCTCTCACTGTCACCTGTACAGTAAATACCATAAGTATGAAATTCCAGGCACTTACCATTGTTGAACTGTAACATTTTCTGATTAAAATATGCAAATTAAGTATTAATTTACATTATCAATATCTACCTGTGTTTTTGTCGTTCTCCATTACATACGCCACAAACTTGAATAGTCCTATCATGTAATGCAGCTGGTTTATATGATTTCCTTATAAATTATGTAAATTACATCCACATTTACATAATTGCCACAGAATTATGTCAAGCATCACGTAAGCTACCTACACACCAAAAATCACGACGATCCGCCAACCGGTTCTTGAGTTAGCCTATTTTGTATATAATTAAACAAACGCCCCTGCAGTTCCAGAGCAAGCTGCTTGGGGGAACAAACTCACGTCACGTCCTCCCCAAAATAAGATCCACCTGTCATACAACTTTCGTGACCCTAGCTTGTTTAGGTCATGAGATATCAAACCCGGAAGCTGCAGTACCATAAGAAGCTGGTATGGGGCCAAAAAATCTAATTATATCGAGGTCCCATCAAGACCTTCGTCTTTGTTACCCCCAAATAACCCCGCGAGGGGTGCCTTTAGGGGGCAGAGGAGGTCAAGGCTAAGGCGGGCAGACCTACCTACTAGTGCCTACCAAATATCAAGTCAATCCAAGTCAAGACTTCTCAAGTAATCGTGCTCACAGGCACACAAACACACACAGAGAAAGACAGACTGACACATACACCAACGCCTCTGAAAACATAACCTTCTTAGCGAAGGTAATTACTTTCAAGCAGTAAGACATCATCATAACATTGGGGTATGTTAAAGGAACCGTAACCCAGTGGATCGCACTACCACCTTCAACCATGAGGCTAGATTAAGGTCATACCTTGTCGTGACAGCAGCTAATATAATTTTGCACTCTATATAGTATATACATCGGGTTTACTAATCCTGGGTCTAACCGTCCTCTTCCGACCGTGAACTTGGTGGTTCTTGCTGTCGTACTGAGGCTAATGCCGTAGATATAGTTTATCGACAGCGAGTAAATGGATTGCACGAGTAGTTCTATCCGACCGCAGGAAGAACGCATTAACGTCGGTACCGGATGTATTATTCAGCCTGCCGTGATCACTCAAGGCAACAATTTATGCACGCATCCATGCAGGGGATGATTCTCCAATTCCGCAGGCTATTCATTATAGACATTGCTGTCAGCACCTAGGCCCATGGGGACAGAGTAGATCTATTTTTGTCAGCATTAATTTTCTAGTGGACAACGGCAGCCCCAATCATACACAATTTGCAACTGACAGTGTATTACTGTATATACTTTTTCAGGAGCTATAGAGGCTACAGTGTATAACTCTTCATCATTCGGTGAATACCGCTTAGCATCATAAGCAGTTATAGAGAACAGGGAACAGATTCCACAATGCGGTTCCAAAACTATCAGGAGTGTAAGAATGCTGTAAATATGTAAATACTGTACGTTTGGGAATGCATCTATAGCAGTGACACCTGTGCTGCAGTGCAATGTGAACCAGTCAGAATGGCCCTGAGGAGAGTGACAGACGGTCAACAAAACTGAATAAAAGACTTGGTTGTGTAAAAAAAGTCTCTTCACTTAGTGACTTAAGCTTACCAACCTGATGCGGAGTAATGTATTGTGCCTAGCACGTCGGCAGAACGTCTCGTTTAAGGTCGCATTTTTGCGTCCTTAAGGATAACATCCCGTCTATAGTTGTCAAATGTAGTGTCGGCAAAAATACCGTCTGGAACAGGCAAATTTCTGATGCAACGTTGACCAACCAGCCAACGAAACTTTGAACATCTGGGTTTCGCGCGCGCAGGCGCAGTACTTTCTGTCGACGTGCTGCTTCATATCTGACTCAGATCGACGATAACTTTATTTCCTTTATTATCTGTATCATTTCATTTCTTTAGGACAATCACAATGCTTAAGAGATGCATTCTAGGAAGACACCTGTTTCTTCGCGCTACGTATGTGCACATCAAGAACCTCAGCACCGCTCCAAGAGGGAGGACTCACACGCTGCTGAGACCATCCTTGCTTCTAGGTGGGGTGGCCGCAGTAGCTGGAACAGCCTTTTTAAATTGGAGAAGGTAGGAACTGTTTGTCGTTGAAATCAAGGTCTGTTTCATAGCAAATTCACGTTACGATGCCCACATAGTTTGGAAAAACGTTGTACCGTTATACAATATTGACATACTAAGTAACCATGATACACAAGATGAGTTGATTTGTGGTGTACCTTTCGTTTGCTCAGAAAGCTGCAAGCGGCGGAGGAAGGTCAAAAGACCCGTACCGGGTCAGAGGCCAAAACCGATGCAGAAGACGAAGAACCTCACGGGAAAAAGAAGAGGCCGACCTTCAAGGATAGGAAGGTTTGATACAAATGTTATTAAGCTACGATACATAATAATAACTTTATTGCACAACAGTTGTACATGGTACAAAGTATGGCAAAACTTATCTATAAACTTAACTATGGACTAAACTAACTAATACAGGAGTTTGTGGCTGATATAGGCATAGGATGTGAATGAACTTTTACAATATTGGAGGAATTTCTTATGTCTAGACATTGTTTGATATACATTCCTATATCTACCATACATGAGTTATCACAGGTCATTATTATCTTAAATTTGCTACTTAAATCCATCGATGTAAATTCTGGTACATATGACGATAGTTTCGTATTTAATGAATTGCGTACATCAACATACTTAGGACATTCCATCAAAAAGTGATACTCATTCTCAACTAGTTCTGGGCAGAATGGACAAACCCTCTGGTCAATAGGAAGCCTTTGAAATCTTCCGGTTTCTATACTGAGTTTGTGACATCCAATTCTGAGTTTTGTGATTGCTCGACGTATGTCAAAGCTCCTTATGTTAGAAAGGTAATTTTCTTGCTTGTAATTCTTGTCTAAGGTGGAAAGGAAAGATAATTTAGAATTGTTTCGAATGGCACAATGCCAGTTTTGTATATAGATATCTTGTAAACGTTGCTTCAACTGAGTAGTAATTGAGTCTATGTGATATGACTTCGGGTTAAGCCATATGTGCCATTGAGGTTCAGAATGTCTTTCACATGTATAATCCAATCATGTTCTCCAAGCAAGGTAGTATTGTATGCCTCCCGAATCGAAGCAGGGCATCTTCGGATAAATTAACTAAGCGATGCCAGTATTTAACGAGTTGTATTTCTGTATTCACCGTAACTGGGAAAGTTCCCAATTCTCCTCTGACACCGTCGTTTGGGGCCTTGGCATGTACGCCTAACAAAAACTTCTGAAAACGCATGTCAATAGTGTCGAATTCTGGAATATGTTGATTTGAATGTAGGTTTATAATTTGGAAGCCATTCTCTTGTAAAACTTTGCTATTGACATGTCGCATTAGCATTTCTTTATCAGTATTTCTTTCTAAGCAAACAATATAAGTATTATTTGTGGCAGAGGATGAACTTTTCCTGACAGAAGCGGGAATATTTTCTTGAATATCAAGCTTCTTTAGAAGGGAGGAGAAAACCTTGGCAGAGGATTCCTGTATACTGCCGGTGTGTGATACAATAATCTTTATAGTTTTTGAAGATCGGTCAAAGCATGTGATTTCTGAGCCGTACATGAAAATAGGTTTTACAAATTTTTCGTATAGGTTTTTTCCGAGACTGACTGAGACACCGTTGTTGGAGAGTAAGAGAGCCTTGAGTTTGAAAAGTGCTCTCATTGCCTTGGTTTTTAGATATTTTCTAGCAGTTTTGAATTTGCCTGCACATAAACCATGTCCAGCTTTGAAGAATGTCTTTCACGGTAAGGTTAGGGCCGAGGTTTTCCCAAGCTGGCTTTCTCGACCGGTTCTAATGGGAAACTACGTATTTTCACAATACGACAATATATGTTTTGTGACCTTTTGTGACATTATGAATAGCCATTTCCCACTATATGGATTGTAGAAAATCTCAATGGTACTAACTTAAGATACTGGTTATGCCTAGTAAGCATTTTCCTTTCATCTCCGTAAGATGTGAACAGGGTATTATACTGATATCTTCCCATTTCCTGTGCTGTGCAACTGACAATCGATCCAAAATAACTGGCCAGTTATAGAGATAATTAATCAATTAATCAATTAATCAATTAATCAATTAATCAATTAATCAATTAATCAATTAATCAATTAATCAATTAATCAATTAATCAATTAATCAATTAATCAATTAATCAATTAATCAATTAATCAATTAATCAATTAATCTTTTTTTCAGGTCCTTCTATAATGTCTCAATGATCTTTGGATGGTGCATTTGTTGGTCGCTCATCGAATGCTTGGTAATGTGGCTAGTGTATCCAGACCAGTACCAGTAACTGTATACCAGAATGAGTTAGGGGTAGGGTCAGGCACGGTTCTGGATACGCCTGGACTATCCAGAGCGGTGAAGGATTATGGTTAAAGCACGGTTTTGGTTACAACAGAAGCCTCATAAGTTCAACAATATGTAGCAACTCTCTAGCAACTCTCGTTAACGACAGGTAATCGAATACGAGAACAGAATCCGGCAGTTCTCCAATCCGGACAAGATCTTCCGGTACTTCGCGACGCTGAGTGTGATCTCGGACGGACACGCGGAGATCTACATGACGCCACAGGACTTCCTCAGGTCCATCACACCGGGCGAGATGCAGCCAGAAGGTCAGGGGATGTCATGCCTATCTCCAAGTACATCATTTGGTGGCAAAGTCGTAAGCAACAAGGCATTATCAAATTGGGCAGACACTCCAGTGGGTAATTGGATACTAAAAAGTACTTGTCTGGCCAATTTGATAATCTATTGCTGGTTGGTTACAACTATTCCACCGGACGATGCACTCGTGAGTTTATCATAATATTTTTATGCTGTAATTTATGGTTCCACCGACCTCTGAAATTTCCATGAGAAAGTTAAAAGTATCATCATAAATTTCTGTCTTATGCTGTATGCAACATAGTAGTATCCTTTATCCAACGAATGGTTCTTTGTTTCCTACTTAAACAAATTATAATGGAGTCATGCTATCTACTTCAACTGTTCTGTAGGTCTAGGTCTGGATCAGTTTATGCATATCCGAAAGGAGGTAAGTAAATGCATTAAATATAATCAGTGATGAGTGTAATTTACCCGAAAATTACTACATTGTGATAAAACATCTGATTTGTTTGACGAATTACTGACTACTAACATTGCTGTAGAGTTTAAAAACTCTAGATCAACAGCAATGTTAGTTGTCCTACTGAAATGACGACGATGAGAATGTGACAGTAAAATTTAAGGTAAGTTGATGGTTTGATACTGTTTGAATTGCGGATATTTTGGAAAACAACATTTTCGTTACAACTTACAACCATCATGCCACACCCAAAGTATCCTGTCCGTGACTTTCTACCTGTAGGATGTCGGCGAGGTAGTGAGTGTGAAGTGTTCCTACCCTGACATCTTCTCCAAACTCGGCAACAGCGGGCTTATCAACTTCACGGACTACATCTTTCTACTCACCGTGCTAACCAGTAAAAATTCCATGTTTTTAGAATATAGATAGCATTCTTAGGTACTTAACTGTCTTTATTTTACTTCACTTTTCTTAGATACGTCTCCACAAATTATTTCCATCTGTGTGTGTGCGTGATGAAGCTGTTGTTATCGGTTGTGTACTATAATCAGAGGATGTTCTTGTCATCCACTTTGCTTAAGTTTCCCCCTCCTGGCTAACCCTGTAAGCAATAGAGAATTGGTAGCCAAACGGCAAGTTTAGTGTGCCAAAGCTTAGATAGAACAGTACTTTTGGGAATAATCAAATTGACTGAATTGGTAATGCCGTAATTCTCTTCCGGTCCAGCTCCCAGGCGGAACTTTGAGGTGACTTTCCGTGTGTACGACATGGACGGAGACGGTCACTTGTCTCATGATGAGTTCCTGAAGGTAAGCTATTATAAGCGCGATCGGAGGCTCTCGTATTTCTGCAGGACCCACGTACATGTCATTCATGATCATTGTCTAGTATTAGTCGAACCTTTATAAAGATGTACAATGTTTTTAACTGAAGAGTATCTTTTAATTAGTCAATGAGTTGAACAAGCAACGTTCCTTACGTGACTATATTGATATTTTGGTATTGGCGTGTTAAACATAATATTGAAAATTGTCCTATTCCTCAGGTAGAGAATTTTGCATTCCGCAACACAACAACAGGGATGAAGCACACAGAGCGCAGGTCAGTGTTGTACACAACTGTAAGTAAATTCTACCTAGCACATTAACAAGACGTATCACCTTTCAATACTTTCAACAAGTCAAAAGTTCATGAAATGAATACTCATATGTATATATAAGAGTCTTCACGCAAGGTAACGTGTTATTAATGTCAGAGGTCAATGACCTGCTTGCTGGTGCCCCCTTCCAGCGTACCTCGGCCGAATGCCGACGTGGTCCCACCAGAGGCGGTGAAGCTCGTCCTAGAATTGGCACTATTCGATCATTACTGCTCTGCTCTTTTTAAAGTTGCTGCCACGTTAAGTTTTGTATTGCATATAAATAAGGAAATATCAGCCCTTAATCCATGACCAGGTCATCATAAAAAGTGTGAAGTGAAGTCACATTGGAATCACATTGCGTTCAGACGCAAATCGCGATCTGGTGAAACCGATTGGAAAATCAGCTCCGAAACTACCTCCCGAGGTGGTTTGGGATCGAAGCGCATTCAATGCGATTAGGAGCATTTGGAGCGATGTGGGCGACTAACGAAAGTAGTCTGTATAACGCAAACTCTGCCGTCCGCGGCTTTACTGGCCCCTCCCCCTTTTCGGCTGGCGGCTGGATGTTGGGCGGCCGGCAACCGTAAAGCGATTTAATTATAATCAGGGTATTACGAAAGTAGCAGCACTTTTGTTGTATCAATAATGTTCTCGATCCCTTGGCAGCGCCGTTGACAAGGACGGAATGGGCAGCTCCCTGGCTATGTATTTCTTTGGCCCTAATTTAAACCAACGACTCACGCTGCAGAAGTTCCTAGACTTCCAAGAGAAGGTGCAGGATGCTGTGCTGAAGCTGGAGGTGAGATTGTCTACCTTTCCTGTAAACCTCAATAATAACAAGAATTCGGAGACCTCCATTAAATATGAAGAGTTTATGTAAAATTGTTAGTGGGGGATTTGTCTCATTGTACATGTATATGGAAGGAAGGTCGTAATCAACAGTTTAATTTATGGTTTTCTTAACTCAAATTACAATATTTTGAGTGATGAATTCCTATCCTTTGGCAATATTTCATTTCAACATGTGCTCATTGATTATGCAAATTACCTCTACATTAACATAATATATGCATAGTGATGGGAACCTGTAAGTAACTTACACATGTCACAAGGTATAAAAATTCCAATCACTCAACATTAATAAATCGCAATATTTTCACATTAATTATGTAAATTAGGTCATTATTTGTATAATTGGTATCTGTTGATGTTTCACCTGCATTACATCACATGTAAGAGAGTATGATCATTTAAAACACTGGAATTGCAGAATTTCCTACTTAATTATGCAAATTTAGCTTCCATTTGCATAATTTGTCTTTCGTTATGTACATCTCTTTATACGCTACCTATACACCAAAAATGATGAACCTACGGTGTTCCTTTCTTGACTTATCTGCTTTAAAGTTTTTACCAGAAACTAACCTGCAGTTTCAGAACAAGCTGCTAGGGAGACAAAACTTACACAACCAAGAAAATGTATCTGTTACCTAAAATCCAAGACCATAGCATTGTTCAGGACCAAGGTCAGCCAACAGGAGGCAAATATTTGACCTTGACCTTTGTCTTCCTAACGTACCAAATATCATCATAATCCATAAAGGCGTTCTGAAGTTATGTTGACTACAAATGTGCGAAAACACAAACACACACACACACACACACACACACACAAACACGCACATACCTACACAGACCGACACACAGACAGACACGCCAAAAATAAGAGTTCCGAGATCTCATACCTCCATGAAATATGGGCTTGCTTACTTGCTTTGTCATACTTCATTTCAACATGTCCTCCTTAATTATACAAATAACCTCTACATTAACATAATATATGCATAGTGGTGCTAACCTTTAAGTAACTTACACATGTCACGGGGTATAAAATTCACATCATGCACCAATAAGGAGTCACTGAATTTTTACATTAATTATGCAAATTAGATTATCATTTGCATAATTGGTATCTGTTGATTTTCCCCCTGCCACAGATTAAAAAGATTACATGTATAAAAGAACTATTATATAAAACACTGTAATTATAGAATTTCCTCCTTAATTATGCAAATTAAGTCCTCATTTGCATAATCTCCATTTAATTATGTACAACTTTCTCTCAGCTACCAACACACCAAAAATGATGAAAATACGTTATACCTATCTGGACGTTTTGGCTTTAGAAGATTTCGCCAGAAAGTCCCCTGCAGTTCCAGAACAAGTTGCTAGGGGGACCAAACTCACACCACTTATTCCAAGAAAAGCTATCTGTCACCAAAAAGTCAAGACCATAGCATGTTCAGGACAAAAGATACAAAAGGCCGGAAGTTCTGTTGCAGTACCAAGGTCATCCACAAGGAGGCCCATATTTGACCTTGACCTAGTCTTCCTAAGACTTACCAGCATACCAAATATGATCACTATCCATAAAGGCGTTATGAATTTATGCTGACTACAAATGTGCGGAAACACAAACACACACACACACACACACACACACACACACACAGAAACGCCAAAAACAATACCTCTATTTTTCATGGAGGTAACAATACCTTTTGTAGTTGATGTATGGAATCATACAGCTACGACATCGTGTTTGTGCACATAAAATGTGCATTAAGATTGTGCGAGAGTGTGATTGAATGAGGTCAAAGAGTATGGACTTTGTAGTGGCAATTAGTGGTAATGTTGCTGTCATTGACGCGTGCTCCAATTTTACCGCTATGTACCCTGTACTTGACAGGAATACCATGCACTAATCAGCCTCTGTATGACATAATTATCTCGTACATGATAATTATCTCGTACATGACGGAAATGGCAATTACCTTTTAAAGGCACCCAAAACGATTTCAGGACAGTGAAGCTGAATTTTCAATTCAATTTTCTGGTCATTTTTACCTTCGCCAAGAAGGTTATGTTTTCAGTAGCGTTAGTCTGTCTGTTTGTTTGTCTGTTTGTTTGTGAACAGCATAACTCAAGAAGCTTAGCATGCATTGTCATGAAACTTGGTAGGTGGGTAGGTCTTGATGAGACCTAGAAATTATTAGATTTTGGACCCCCTGGCGGCTTTTGTTGGTACAGCAGCAGAACTTCCTGTTTTGATATATCGCGATCTGGACATGCTTGGGTCACGAATTTTGGTTTGTAGATAGCTCTTGAGGTAGGAAAGAAATGAAATGAGTTTGGGCCCTCTAGCGGCTTGTTCTGGAACTGCAGGAGCATTTGTTGACAAATTTTCGAAGTACGATAACTCAAGGATCGGTTGACGGATTGTCGTGATATTTGGTATGTAGGTAGCTGAAGGGATGCTTGACATAATCAAATGACAATTATGCAAATCAGGAGCTAATTTGCATAATGAACGAGGAAATTCTATAAATCTGCTTTGTTCGATAATAGGACTATGAAACACTTGTGACATGTAATTTAGAATGAAAAAACATCTGAGGATATAGATTATGTAAATGAAGACCTAATTTGCGTAATTAATGGAAAATCTTTGAAATTTCATAGTTGTAACTGCTGGGAATTTCATACTCGCCACATTTGGAAGTTAAGTGAAGGCGAACATCAATAAACATAATTTATTCAAATCATGACCTCATTTGCATAATTTATGAGGAAGTGCTATAATAGCCTAAGATAATTAAGATAAGACTGTCATTAGGTGGAGAATATGATTAACTGATATAACCCATGAAAATGAGGCTCTTATTTGCAAAATCAATTATAAAAATTTTATAATTCTTCAACCGCTAGGGTTAACATCATTTGGCGAAGGTATGAGATCGTGGAACTCTTGTTTTAAATGCAGTAAGTTGAATTAACCCTATGAATGAATGACGTTATTTCAGGTAATATACGTACAATACATACAATATAATACTTACATCTGTAAGGAAAAATGCATTGTCGCTGACGAAAGCGATTGTTTTTGTATCGTAGGCTGGTTCTAGTTATTTATTTGTGGTACCAAATATCAAGGGACTTAGTTTGTATTTGGACTATTCTAAACGCTTCAACTATATGAGATTATGACGAATATGGGCTAAGAAATGACCGAAAATGTCAATACCAGACAAATTTCCTTATCTAGAATATTCTTTTGTATTGCCGCCCTGAAATTGCTTTTGCTGCAATGTTCTTCCACTTCAGTTCGACAGATGCGAGCCGGATCACAGAAGCGGACTGATTTCCATCCGGGAGTTTTGTTACTCGCTGCTGATGTACTCGGGCCTTTCAGATAACAAGAAAAAGAAAATGGTGGCCAGGGTCAAGAAACACATTGAAGACGAGCCAAACGTGAGTTTGTGTATCCCGGTATGCGTAAAACGTGTTGCCAAAGGTCGTAAAGGAAAGTAAAATCTGTAACAAGATGAACTAACTTACGCTGTTATTAATGCATCGACGCTACTGTTGCCAATTTCCTAATATCGCGACGACTTGAGTATATTCATGTTTGACGTATATGTCAGAGTCAAGATTCCAATCAAGTACAATCGAAGATTCCACCGGCAGAGAGGATGATCTGTTGCAGTATAACTTAACATTGCCCAAAGTATCCTGAAAGGCAAAAATTCAATCACATTACAGGTAGATACTGATATAATTCAAATAGTTTGCGCATGCCATAAAACCTATATATCTTTTAATGCTGTAACGTTACGTGTATCATACTGGACATGAATCGCAGATTGTACCAGTAGAGAGATCGGGATCTCTACCGGCGGCCCCCATTCGGAGTTTCTTCCACCTTGACATATGCGTAACGTTACTGACATACCGTATTACATACTATCAGTCGACGTCGCACATCTTCGCTCATATATTCACCTACTCCTCAGGCGCCCCCAGGCGTGTCGTATGATGACTTCCGGAACTTGTTCCTGGCGCTGCAGCACCTCCATGACATCGACATCGCCCTGACATTTTTCCATGCAGCCGGAGCGCCCCTGGACCCGAGTAAGTACGACCGTAGTACGGCCGCAAACTCAGGGTATTCTTGTGATATGTCTTGCTATATAAAATGCTGTCTTAGATTCTTTTCGGATACAGAGTATAGATACAGATACAGGTGGTTGGTTCTGTCGCATATTGCTTGAAAATTCTACGGCATCAAAATGTTTTGGACGATGTTCGATGAATGTCATCATCATCGCCATAAAGAAACATTCCAGACCCAAACTGAATCCTTTAACTTTGAGTAATCTACGTAGTAACACATTCACATGTCTGCTTATGGCTATTAACAAGAATATGTCCAATATGTTTAACGCTAGCTCTATATGCTGACAACACAACATTTCCCTTTTCCAGCAACCCTGACACACGTCGCTAAAACTGTAGCGGCTGTCGAGCTGGCTGACCATATCATGCAAATATGTTTCAAACTATTCGACGAAAACGGTCAGTGGAAAGTTCCTATTCTGTCAGATTTATGATGTAGCTCCCAATACGTGTGGAGTAACGCTAATGCAGGAATTTGTGACAGATCAATCATGATAACTATGCTCTTACGTTCTAGTGTAATTTGTCCAGATAGAGTTAGGTCGTCGTGACTATCAATAGTGTCGTAATCGATGGAACCATGAAAGGTCATGATTAAAATTGACGTCGTTCCGTGATATATAGACCTAGGGTGCATTTAACGACTTAATTTTTATGATTCGCGGCATTCGCCCTTCACAGATGACGGGGTGTTGGACGACAGGGAGTTTGTCTCCTTGTTGAAACAGCGCGCGACGCGGGGGCTGACCCGTCACCATGACACTGGAGTGTCCCGGATGTTGTCCGCCATTATCAGGTGTACCAAGCAAGTCTACAGGGAGACATACAGTGACTAGACGATACTAGTGTTGATATTTTGTTGGGGGGGGATGTTGTCTTTGTGAGGCTGAGGACATTAGACATTTTATGATGTGTTCTTTTTAATGTTGCATAGTACCTTCCTAGAAACACAGTAATTTCCCGGAAGTGGATTTCAAGAAATTCCTTAGATTGGTTCGGCATATGTATATGTGTAAAAGCAAATAAGATACGAACGGTTTTGATCGACGATGATGCTATTATAAGTCGCCTGGAACGACTTAGGTTTAAATACATAAGAATTTCAAAAAGTGATCTGTACATTTATTCGTATCACGCAACATAATCGACAGTTCTAGATCTATGGGCAGCAGGAGATATGATTACTATGAATCAAAATGAAAACTACTACAATCACAATGAAGCTTCGAGCATTCCAAAAGAGATCTTTTTCTCAGTCAGAAAGAATTTACTAACTTAATGAGTAGCGATGAGAATACATGTATTAGCTCATAGTTATCTGCTGAAAAAAAAAACAAGTCTAGTGAACGGACACACCTGGATATATTTGCACGGAGAGGCATGTATCATGAGCGAGGGAAGGTTAGGTAAGGCTCGTAAAGGGTTGGTGACTATGTCCTATTAATGCAAACGGTGAAGTTCTATATGTATATTTAGTAGTTCTAGAATGAACCATATGTCCATTACCTTTAGAGATTATTTAACTTCTTGCTTTTAAGATGTTAGTTTTGAAGGTGGATATACTATTTGAATGTCGTTACCTACTGCTAGTAATTTGCCGTTCAGCTTATATTCTTAGTTCAGCTTATACTCTAACCAGTTCATTTCACAATACTAAGTTATGACATGTCACCTTGATTACACGTTCTTACAATTCATTTTAGTGCTCTTTCCTTGTTGTAGAATTTTACAATGGGTGTTTCCATTTCCTTTGAAATACATGTACCAGGAATGTTTGTAAACAATTTATGAAATCAACTGATTATAATGAAATAGAGCTTACGTCTAAATCAACCCAGCGTCAGATGTCTCACTTTCTCTCATTCTTTAGTGACACTGGTACTTCAGAATCTAAAACTAAGTCGTCAATTTGAAGTACTGATATGACCCTTTCTGGTGATAAAGATTTTTTTTTACTCAACGTTTCAAAACATGCCATGAACCGGGCCAGTATGTTGTTTAACCCCATAATGACCCATACCGTACACTGTTGTCAATCACGTGCTCAATCACATATGTTCTGGCCTTATATAAACCCTACGTTAGGTTATCATACAACATTTGGAGTTTTTGAGCGTAAGCTAGAATGTCGGTCCTAACAGCATTTGTCCTTGGAGTGACCGTTCTCTGCACACAAGTAACATCAGATTCAGGTAAGAAAAACATATGGACAAAGGCTTTTATAACGTGAGACAGAAGTAGGAAAATGAATATTTGTAATGAATGTTTGTAATTTCCAATCAGATATTTTGGTGGTTGCAAAAACAGTATCAACATGGCCCTCAGCATATCCAATTTGTCACCCGAAATTATAATTTGGCTGGCGTACAACATACCAAAACAAGGAAGCAAAGCCCATCTTAAACGCCTAAAACACGTCAAAAATAGGCCGAAATCTTAACAACTGCCCGGGTAGTAGAATATTTGCGCAAATGGAAGTGTAACTGTAAAATAGTTAATAGCCAATTTCAGTAAAAGCACAAGATTAACATGCAGATGTGTTATCTAGTATGCGGCGGAAATCATTCCGGTACCACGTTCGGTACCATAGTAGCCACCCCGGGCCAGGGAACCTGTCAGTGGTCCATAGAGGTACCATGGGGATCCTCTGTACGACTCACGTTCGAGACGTTTCACCTGCATGATGGGGAAGTCGCTGTGTACGAACACTGCAACGTTGGGAATCAACTAGGTCAGTTTTCTCCAATAACCTTCAAGGTTTATTACTCCGTGAAGGGGGTCAGTGACCTCCGACAAAGGATTGTGGTCAGTTAATTGAGTCCGTGCCTGATACAAGTATTTTTGATGCTATTAATTTGAGACCGAGGGTGAGTTGTATTTTTATTTTCATTTTTAGTTAGTAATGTGTATCCGTGATCTAAGTCTCCGCGACTGATTTTAATGTTGTAAGTCATTCCTCAATTCAACCATATCATGGCTGCTACGGTCGTATTGAGATAAGATAAGAAAACAGTCATTCAAATGCTTGGTTCCTACGTGATGTACTGGGTAGAAATAATAAAACTTAATAACTCATATAATTTCGTTGCATCTCACAACATAGCAACGTCTATAACTTTTAAGTCCTAAATAGAGTTACTTTCTGTGATCGGCAGGGACATTTAAAGGGCCCGACGTTCCTCCTTCCGTTACTTCTTACAGTAACAAGATGGTAGTAACCATGACGTCATCTGGAGTCGGCACCGGTATGGGGTTCCTTGCTCATTACGAAGGTAACTGTTTTTTCTTTTTTCTTTCTTCCGGAGAGACAAAACAAGTACACACATACAAGATACAGGATGACTTTATCGGTAGTCGCAGTGTTGCACACTGGATTAAAACCAATGTACAATAGTGGTGGCGTAGTCAACAAACTTACATCAACACCACCCACAACGCAAACAGAAACGGATTGTTGACACAGAATTCATTTAAATGAATGTAACATTTTTAGGGTGACTGTTTTGGCATATGCCTTTAATTTTTAAGACTCATTTATCCTGCAGCGTTGTGTGATGTATTATTTAATTTCATCAGAACGTATGAAGTGGAAACTGTTGGTGTGAATGTCAATGCCCTGTCGAAATTTTCGTCTGCTATCCAGCTCTTTGCCATGTTAACTTTCCCTCAATTGATGCTAGCAAGGTTACTACCTAGATATTTTTCATTCCAACACTTATGAACAACATCGGTGCGTACACTGTATGTTGACATTTAGAATGAATCAATACTTTTTCAGCTGTTCCCGTTCCCAGAGCCACCATGGAAAATTCTCCTGATGATAACCTTTCACCCCTTGACATTCAAGATGGCTGCCTGACTCACACGGTTAGTGGCTACACAACCATAAAATTTACGTTTGGCCATTGAAGGCACTAAATTAAATCTAATGTCATTGAATACACCGAAAGAACCCCCCATGAAAGTACTTTCCCACATCATCAGTTCTTTCAATCTAAAAAAAAATAAAAAAATAAAAAATCCTACACCAAGACGTCACAAGGGGTCTACCTCAATAATAATAAAAGCAAAACAAGGGGTGCCCAGCTGACAACAGTAAACAAGCCCTTAGTTTGACCTCATTTTCTCATGTATCCATCCGCTCTGGCCATGCAAGACCTAAACATTCATGTCGTGTCAATACGCCCAAAATGTAAAAAAACGGCTTTCAAAGATATTAACTAGGGACTAGAATTGTGTTTCCATCTTGGGACCTTCACTGTGCAACACAATGTCACGTCAGCTCTACATTTGCGGCTTCTCTTTTGCCATTGATACCATGTTGGGGATTCTGGTCATACATGGGCGACCTATGTACAGCGTTATTAAGTTTACTGCCAATTGATTTAACACGACATCAGCGAATGCAACATGAATATACACGAAACAGTAGAGACGAGTCGTTAGACATCATATCTAATTCATCTCCCAAAGCCAGATATCAGTAGTACTTAACACGTTAAATGACTGGGAGGCCCATTGACCTTGGTCGTCCTTCAAATTCTGATATCGCTTTAGAAGTGTTACTTGAACCACAGCCTGCATTATTTATGACAAATCAATAATGATAATCGTAAAACGTAAATCGTATCCTAAACCAAACGACATCCATGCAGATATGACATAAATATAGGATTTTGATATTACGTCTGTAACGACATGACCTAGAAAAGGTATAAAAGGAGGAGTGGTCCGATCTCTGTCGAAACTAGTCGAATTCCGTCTCATTGTTGTCATTCTTTCAACGCTACGAATGGTGACATGACCTTTTAAGGTTATTTTATATTCAGCTACTCCATTATCAATATTAATATTCACGAAGAACTTGGTTGGGTGTGAAATCAGCAGCAACTAGAGTTCCACGATCTCATACCTTCGCCAAATGATGTTAGCTTTTATGATTAAGAAATTATATATTAATCCCCCTAATTATGCAAATAGGATCCTCAATTGCATGAATTATATCTGTTGATCATATTCTCCACCAAAAGACAGTCTTATCTTAACAAAGAATGCCATGATGACATTTTCTCATAAATTATGCAAATGAGGTCCTTATTTGAATAAGTTATGTTTAATTATGTTCACCTTAACTTAACTTTCAAACACCCCAAGTATAAAATTCCAGGCAGTTACCACTATGCAATTATAATATTTTCTCATTAATTATGCAAATTAGTCTTCATTTGCATAATCGATATCTGCCTGTGTTTCTCTCATTCTTAATAACATATGTCACAAGCTTGAACTTCCTATTATGGAATGCAGCTGATAAATAGAATTTCCTCATTAATTATGCAAATTACATCCATATTTGCATAATTGTAATATCATTATGTCAAGCATCACTCAAGCTACCTACATACCAAAAATCACGATGATCCATCAATCGGTTGTTGAGTTATCCCCCTTTAAACATTTGTCCTTTAAACCCCCCTGCAGTTCTAGAGCAAGCAACTAGGGGGCTCAAACTCATGTCACTTTATCCCCAGCACAAGAGCTATCTACCATCCAAATTTCGTCACCCTAGCATGTCTGGATCATGAGATATCAAAACCGGAAGTTCTGCTGCAGTACCATGACAAGCCGCCAGGTGGCCCCAAAATCTAATCATTTTGAGGTCTCATCAAGACCTACCCACCTACCAAGTATCAAGACAATCCATCAAGACCTTCTCAAGTTATCGTGTTGACAGACAGACAGACAGACAGACAGACACACACACACACACACACACACACACACATACACGAACGCCCCTGAAAACATAACCTTCTTGGCGAAGGTAATAATGGTATGAAATGACTGTTGTATACTGCTGACACAGGTTGGTGACTGCTGGGCTACAGAGGATGAGAGGGGGTTGCAGAACTGTGTGTGTGGTGGGGAGTACCGTGTGTGTTACGCCGTGCGCTGTCTCACAGGTACCTCTGCCGTCATGGGCAAAGACGGGCATTGGGAGTGTCGCAGATACCAAGTAAGGTCTTTTACGTTTTAGAAGCTTATTTACCCATTAGCTTCATTCACATAAAGGATTATATTATGTGAATGCATATATATATCATATCAAGCTGACATAGCTATTGAGTTCTTTGTGCTACATGTAAAAACAAGAAAAGAGTGTTTTGTCTTCTGCACCCACATTCTTAGACTGATGAGCAAACTCCTTGCAAGCATCTATGATACAAATACCTTGATGTCTCCGTTTTTAGGAATCACGGGGTTTGAAAATCTCCGGGCAAACGAAATTTGTCCCGGTACCTCTAATCGTGCAAGCTGTGGTAGGATTGGTCAACTGGTCGCTAGGTAACGCCTTTGAGGAGCCTGACCCCCAGGAGCAGATTTTGGCCGATCTGCAGGCGCTGGACCACAGGCTGGACAACCTGCACGGACAACTGGATTCATTACAGACCCGTGAGTAAGGTCCTTGATCCTGGTCACATACGTTGTGCGATCGACCGTCGTGATACCATAGTTTGGGCATCTTAAAGCCCGGGAAAGTCGTCGGGAATGTGCCTAGCAAATTCCGCTGTCTTGTTACGGAAAAAAGCTGCCTTGGCGGCGCTCAACAAGGCATGTAGATTGATGGCAACGGCATTGGGCCGAAATCAACCATTTTGCCATCTATCTAATGTTTTTACCTTTTTCCTTATCCTTTGGCATCTTGGTCATCTTGATGGTGCTTCATTCGTCTTCATCTGTAATCTTTGATATTCTGAACATCTTTCCTATTAACTGGTATATCCTTATCACTTTATATCATATATAATACAATATGAATAAATACATAAATATCTATTACACACACACACACACACACACACACACACACTTGATTTACATATAAATGTTTTATGTACATATCTATATACATAACGTTCTCTCTCTCTCTCTCT